CCATTATTATAAAAACTCATGAAAAGGTTTAAAAAAAAAAAACTTTTATGTCAAATGTTTGAAAGTCACCCCCTGCGATGTGTCCCACCCTAGGTGTGGTCTGGCATTCCTGCAGAGACGCCATGCACCAGAAGACACCACTTTCACTTGCTTGCTGAGCTGGAGCACGATGTTGGTGTAAGTATGGGAAACCAAGCCGAGAAGTCTGGGTGGGGTGGATGGTTGTTGCCTGGTTTTGCTTGTGTGTATATACATTGTCTTCTTTTGCTTTGTGTTGATTATTGGAGGAGATATATGCTGAATCTCAGTCCTTTTTTTGGGTTGACTTCTTGGATTTTTAAGTCTAGTTTGTTTCTTTTTTCTCCAGTTTGCTTCTTTCTGCATTTCCCTGATGATTAGCTACCATCCAGCTAGATTTCCAAACTACCAGTTTTCTAAGTTTGACATTGAATATTTGAGTACCCTCAAACTATTGAGGCACCAAGATGTGATGTGTCATCTTCCATGTTTCCTGACATGGAAGGTAGACAGTACCATCAGTCTAGGACGAAGCTCATCAGTAGATGGGTACACTGACCGTCTCTGCTGGTGGATTCCCGAATGTGCAGCCTGTAGGCAAATCCGAGATGGTCTCTGAGTTCTCACTCACTGCTTTCACTGGGTCACGCTGCTATATCTTAGGTTGTATTTTTACAGAATGCCTTTATACTAAGGTGCTAAATTGATGCCTAATTTGCATGGTTGACAGAGTAACTGAGGTTGAGAAATATTTAGTATGTATTTCAAAACGTATGCAAATACAACCTTGAGATTTTTTTTTCTCCCCAAATCTCAAGTAGTCAAACTATTATTCATGATTAATAATAATTAATTGCTGTGCTTCCAGCAGTTTAACACCCAACTACAGTAATAGAGCTCATTTTCTGAGGCTGTCAATCTAGGCTATCTTAGGACAACGTTAATTTACCTTGGCAGTAAGTACTTCATTTCTACTTGTATTTGATAGCATATGAAAAATTTAATTTCCTTTTTAAGTAAGTCATTATTCAGTAGGATATTGAAATACGTCTGCATCAGCTGTGCCAGTACAACATACAATAGAGTTTAATGTATATCATTATTTGAATCACATATTTGAATCAGCTTCATTGCCGATGACTAGAAGGACTAAGGTATGCCTGACCCAAGCCATAGTATTTTCAATCACCTCACATGTGTGCGAAAGCCAGACAATGAATAAGGAAGACCGAAAAAGAATTGATGCCTTTTAATTATGGTGTTTGTAAAGAATATTGAATATAGAATGAATTGCCAGAAAAATGAACAAATCTGTCTTGGAAGAAGACAGCCAGAATGCTCCTTAGAAGCGAGGATGGAGAGACTTCGTCTCACATATTTTGGATGAGTTATCAGTAGGGACCAGTAGAGAAGGACCTCATGCTTGGTGAAGTAGAGGGTCAGTGAAAAAGAGAAAGACCTTCAGTGAGATGGATTGACACAGTGGTTGCAACAGTGGGCTCAAGCATAACAACGATTGTGAGGATGGCACAGGACCAGGCAGTGTTTCATTCTGTTGTACATAGGGTCTCTGAGTTGGAGCTGACTTGAAGGCACCTAACAGCAACATAGCTAATGACCATAATTCTGAATGGAACACTTACCAGTGTACTTCCTTCCTTAGGTTGATACAATCAGTTTAAATGCTGCGAGCACACTGTTGGTTTCAGGCACCAAAGAAGGCACAGTGAGTATTTGGGACCTCACTACTGCCACCATGTTGCACCAGATACCATGCCATTCAGGGACTGTGTATGATACTGCTTTTAGCCCAGGTATGTATTAGCCTTCTTAATACAGATGATACCGGGTGAACTGGAAATCTATTTCGAAATAAACAATACAAATTTAAAAAGAAAACCACTACTTGCTGATGAAAGATGTTTTGCCTATAGCTGACCGTGCTTCATGCCAGAATACATTATACTTGCGGCATTTGCACCTAGTAGAAAAGCAGTAGTGGATATAGTTCCTAACTCACCAGAGAAATTTATAAGATGCAACTGAATGCATACCAAAGTGCCACCCCAGTGCCTTGGAAACAGAAGCAGGTCAAGTCATTGGTTAAGTACAAGGAGCTTAAGGACAGTGAAAATGGAGATGAAGCCATTGGATTTAGAAATAAAATCTCAGAATAATTGAGAACATCTTTCCAAAGCTCTACCCTATATCACGTTTTCTCTGTGTCAGATAGCCGCCACGTCCTCAGCACAGGAGAAGACGGCTGTCTTAACATCATAGATGTGCAGACTGGAATGCTCATCTCGTCTCTGACTTCAGAAGAGCCACAAAGGTATATTTCCTTGAGTCCCCAGTGGTGAAGACGTTTACAGACATGCTCGTGAATATTTCACTTGGGCTTACTTTGGCCAGTGCAATGTACCTCTTCTTTCATGATGAAAGTATTATTCCTAAATTGTTCATGTAGGTGCTTTATCTGGGATGGAAATTCAGTTTTATCTGGAAGTCAGTCCGGTGAACTGCTTGTTTGGGACCTCCTTGGAGCAAAACTCAGTGAAAGGATTCAGGGCCACACAGGTAAGCAGTTAGGCATTGCTGCCAACCTTCCTCTTCCATCAGGTAACATAATCATCTCAGGCCCACTGCTTTCTGTACTGGCAGCATTGGGGCAGCCAGGTGATCTGCATCGCATGTCAATCAGTATTACTTTATGCTGACATTTGACTCCCAAAAGGAAGTCTTTACATTAACTTCTAGATGGAGAATTAAGAACCATAATAAAAGTTGTAATATAACATTTAAAAAAAAAAAAAAAAAAAAAGATAATACATGCCTATAGTTAAAGCAGAAACAAAAGTAATGAATTACAAAGTTAGTCTTCCCCTAACCTGCCTACCTCCCAGTTCTCCTCCTTCCAGAATGTTTAGTTTGTGCATCCTGTGTACGTGTTCTTACTAAGGAGGGGGTGTGTGTATAGAGTATATAAAGTATAACAGAAATTGTCTTGCCCTTGCTTTTCACACTCAGTAGTATCTCTTGAGTCACTATATCAGGTTTGCCAACATTTACGTGTTTTCCTCCTGATCATTTGGAAGATTTAGTTTTAATGCTTCTAGTATCTGCTGTTATCTGTTGACTTCTCACTGTGAGCAGTGACTTCCCACCTTTATTCCCTTCCCTGTAATCACTGTGCTTTGGATGGTTTCTTTTTTGTACGTTAAAAACTTACATATGTGTCTTTTTTCCTCCATAACATTTGACCCCTTCCAGTGGAAAAAGAAGTTAAATATGCATCCTGAGACCAGTTCCCCTTCTGTCTCCTGCCTTTTGCCCGTATTATACCCATACTGTCATGGAACATATTTACATTCTGTTCTGTACCCATAACTCCTGGATATTTTAGCTTTAGATTTATATTTTAAATGGTTTCTAATTCCTCACAAGTTCTTTATAGCTGTTACTTTTCTATACAAAGACTTACCATAGGATGAGAACAAGAGAAGGTAGGACTTACTTCACTTCTTGGTAAATGAATTGCAGTTATGTATGTCTTTGGAGGCTTTCTGGTCAACTCACTACTGAACCAAAATGCCTTTCTCTTAGGTGCTGTGACCTGTATATGGATGAACGAGCAGTGCAGCAGCATCATCACGGGAGGGGACGACAGACAAATTATGTTCTGGAAATTGCAGTATTAAGTGCCTTTTCCTCTCCTGGATAAATTGAATTCTGCTTAATGTATTTTTAAACCAAACTTGTAAATGAACTAGTGAATGTGCAATGATAGTAATCAGAAGTTTTACCACATGGAAAATCTGCGGCTTTCAACTTTCTAAACCCTGACTTCACGGGAAGTTGTTAGTTGCCATCTTCTGAGGCAGGTGAAGGCGTATTCAGGAGAGAACATTACACTGATTTGTGAGGCACGATCATCCCAGTAGGATGATAACAGCTAAGAGAGACTAAACTGGGCTGGGGAAACTGTCACAAAGCATTGAACAGTTTAGAATTTTCCAAGAAAATGTGCAGCACTGTCTGCTACTTGAGTCACTCTGTTTTTGTCTTCCTAATCTACCACAGTTGCTACCCATGGGTTTTTGGGTGTGTTTTCCAGGAGTGGTTACTTTCTATAACCTGCTGTACCAGATTCTAAGAACCTGGGGAGAGATTAGCAGTTCTTATAACAGCAAGTTTACTGTGTATAGGAATGGTTTGTATTTCATTATAGCTATAAAATGTTCATCTTTTTTACGATATTAAAATTATTTTTATGTAATGAAAGCAGTTTTCGTTTTCTTACCTAAATGAGTTACTGTAAAGATTAGTAGCTTCTTAGAACCACAGTGTTGGTATGTGCTAGAAAATCGTACTTCGTGACACTAATGTAGTTCTTAGACTTTTATAACTATCTTCAGACCCAAATCCAGACAGCAGAATAGATGATAAACAAACTGGGAAATGGTGTGGTTTGCTTTAATTTCAAACAAGTTCATCATCTATAAAGCAATAGTTCGGATTTCCTTTTAAAGTCAACTTCTGAACCAGTTATGTGACTTAAAATTTTTCTGTACTTTTTAAAAACATTGTATAGTGCTTAATATCTTGCAAGTAGTATGACATAAAGAATCACACCAGGGCAACACTTTTCAAGTTAGTTCTAAATGCCATTAAATATTACCTGGTCTCTGGTGTGGCCAGGGACAGTCACTTGCCTCACGGTACTCCTGCTGCTGGGCCTGCGTGGCCCTGATGTGAACCAGCTCCATTGGCCCTTTAGTGCCTGTCAGTCTGCAGCTCACATTTGGAAGCCATTTCCTATCTGGTACCATTAGCACAACACTGAGGGCTTCCTGTGGTGCACCTCAGCGCTGGCTGCTTTGGAGGATGACTCTACAGTACCAAGGTGAATGTCACTTCCTTCCCTACTTCCAAAGTCATGTACAAGTTTGGTGAAAGCCACTGACGGTTTTCCAATGACACAGTAACAGTCTGAAATTTTACTTTATTTATACATACTTGATTAAAATAATAGAATAAGCATAAAACAAAGTCAGGATAAAGTGTTAGTGCCATTTTGTTGGCAGGAAGGAGTCAGGAAATGGAACAAATTACCAAGAAGACATTCTAAGACGATTCCAAAGTAGCTCGGTTATATAATGCCAAAGTTAGGTCTCATCCCAGTTAACCAACAAATGCAACAAAAGGAGTCAAAAGTTTATCCTGTTTAGTATAAGAATTTTTTACATTAAATATATATCATTTCTCAGAAAGTGATACCATTAACTTTTAGAAAAGTTTCCATTATGCAATTTTACTAGAAAATCTCAAATACAACTAAATAGCTATGCAATAGCTTGTAAGTACCGTTAAACTGTTCTGGGTTAGTGTACATTTCAGCTTAATACGGAACTACGTTTTGGATTTTAGAAAGGCAGCAAGAATTATATTTTGGCTTTTATTCTAGATGCTTAACATGGTTAAGGCGACAGTTCAAGCATATTAAGTGAAGGTAGTTAACATTTAATGATAATCATCACAATCTTGCAGTCTACATACACTCTAATGCTTACATGGAATGAAACCAGTGTTACTTAAATGATGTTTCTCACACACACACACACACACGACTACAAAAGAAACTATCAAAGGCAATCATTCTAAATGCAATATAGCAACACATTAAAAATGCATATATATACCACAGAAATAAAGTAATATGAACAGCACTATTCCATATCTTGAATAAAGGTGATTGGTTCTAACACAAAGCTAAGCCTATATCAGTCATCTTAATCATAATGGCTTGTAGAAGCATCATGCTTCCAGTAGTTAAACTATTCTGTGAAAGTGAGTACATCTTTTGAAAGTTTCACATCGTAAAACCATGATAAGGCTACAACTGTCTTGAAGTGTGAACAAGATACAGGTCAGAGGGCAAGATTCCAGCCATATGTAAGGGAGAAAGGTAGATCTTCATGCAGCATATGTTTGTTGGCTCCTGGAAAGCTTCGTGTGCATAACAGAGTTGCCGGAGAAGGAAACTGGAGAAGTTCAGCTAAGTTTCCATTGTAACTTGACTTTTATTAAACCTCGGGAACGGTATGATCCATCAGGCTTTTCATAATGCTTGGTGCCATCCTACAAGAGAGTCATTTTTATTACATGCTGAAGTTTTTTTTTTTTTTTCCCAAAAATGTTGTGTTAGTCCAAGAAAACTTCAAATTTAGTTACCTGTTAGCAGCAAGGGAGATTTTTTTTGGGGGGTGGGGGGAGTTCTTTTTAATGAGCTCAGATCTAAGTCTTGGGTAATCTAGTTGTTTGCAAACAGCTGGTGTGAAAGGCTATACCAGAGACATACTTCTGTTCTTGTATCCTGGCTAGAAAAGTTGGACAGGATACAAAAATGCCCTTTTATATTAAAGCTGGTGATGATTATAAAAGAAAGTGGGGGGAGGGGAACAGAAAAGGAGGGGGAAAAAAGGAAGGAAATCATCACACAAGGATGTGATGAGCTGGGAGGGGCCCTATTAATAATTTACGAAAACAGAACTCTAGAACAATTAGTCCCGACAACAGTTTTGTTTTTTAAGAGTAGCTAGCTTCATATTACCCAAAAACCAAAACACCTTTATTGCAAGAGTTATCTTTCTTCCACATGCGAGACAGATACTCTGAAAGTGGGATCCCAAGCTGGCTTGGCAGGAACAGCTATGACAGAAGCCAGGATTTTAAAAGCTCTAGAGAAGATAACCCTTGCTGCCCCTTTTCTATTCTTATTGCTCAGCTTTCCAATCCTCAATTCCTGAGGACAGATATTAGCACCACACCCCACATATCTGCTGCCTCTTGAGATGCTCAAGAAAATAGAAATTGTTCCTCCTAACATCCCCTAGACAAGAATTCTCTATCAATTTTACTGAAAGTTGAAAGCATGACCACCTCTACTTTCTGCTTGTACACCCTCTTTCTATTAAGCCAAAAAACCAAACCTGTTGCTGTCAGTCAGGTCGATTCTGACTCAGGGACCCTATAGGACAGAGAAGAACTACCTCACAGGGTTTCCGAGGAGCGGCTAGTGGATTTGAACTGCTGATTTGGTTTGCAGCCAAGCTCTTAACCACTGCACCACCAGAAGTGTCAAAATTTAGGAAATGTATGATGAATTTTATTCCATACTTGGAAGGTTGTGAGTGGTCATCCTTACCCATTTCTCTGATTAAAATAATTCACTTCATATTTCTAAGTAGACCAGTGTTGTCCCTTAGGTAAAAAGAGTTGAAGGTTTGGGAATCAAATGACAGCACAGTGCTAAAGCCACAGAGCCATAAACAAGTTCAACTGTCCTTCTTACCGTTTAATAATATGTTCAAAGATGAAACCGGGCATGATTGTAATGGTAACTACAGTCCCAGATGTTGATAGTATGTCTGCAATTTGAGAATCCTATTGAAAACAATGAAAATTAATTCTACTGAGGCTTTACTTAATCCAAATAGAAAACTACACTATTTGTGCTGAAAAACTAAAGTCCTTTTATGTTTTTTGATAATATCTAAATCTTGAATGCTGGTATTTCTAATTTTTTCTATTTTTCTTTACCAAGTTTAATTCTGTTGATTAAATCAGTTCATTTTATACCTGGAAACCAAATTGCTAAGTAAACTGAGTTGAATATATTAGCCAAAAAGAACATCTTTTTATTAGTTAAGATTAAATAATTTTCCCCATATACAATACTATCATATCCATCAGTTAACCGTATTCTAAACCAAAGTTTGTGAAATGAGTAGATCTTAATTAATTTAAAACTTCAGACCTGAAGAGAGCCTCATTAGTAACTTAGGGGTGGGGGGATAGGAGAGGACTATTAGAATAAATTACTGATATGGAAACTGAAACTATGACTTATTTTCTACACTTCCGGATTGGTAAAAGGCAACTTAGTCATTCAGAATGTCATCAAAATCTTCAATGCCCCCAAGTCGTAGGACTTCAGAGATCTAGTCCAGCCCCCTTGCTATACTAACAATAATTCCAGACAACAGCCTACATAATTCCAGTGACTGGCCAAGAACACAGCTAGTAAGGGGCAGAGCCAGATACCCCGCCTCCCATCTCCCCAGTGGGTTTACCTTAGAGGTCAATATGAAAACAGCGCCACTGAAACAGTCAAAAGAAAAAGTCATTTTCTAAAATAAAACTGGCAGAACAAGGCACTTGTTCTGTTCTTTACCTTCAATCCAATGACATTCTGTCCATTAACTTCACAGATGTTATGTTCAGTAAGAAGACCATTTCTGGCTGCAGAGCTATCTTTCACTATGGATGTTATTTTTCCATTTTTAAAGATAAAACCAACATGTCCAGTACTATCCTTATGCATGGTAATAGTCCGTTCAAAGGGCCTGTAAACACAATGGGGTTTGTTAAAAACTTAATTACAAGGTAAACATTTTAATGGATTTCATATACCAGAAATTATGCCATACTAGATACTCGGTTACAATAAACTAAGTTTCTGATAAGAGCAACTCAATATAATGCTGATCTTGTATATTCACAGAATCTCTGTGTAAAGAATTGTTTTTTAAAAATCTCTTCATCATGGTTTAACTGGCTTACTAATCAAGATTTCCTTCTTGGGGTATCAAAGGCTTAACTGAACACAATCCTCCATGCAGTTTATCAATCTGTTTTCTCCTTTAGAATTCACTGGGATTTAACATTAAGAATGAGGCCTGCAATGGTTAACACTGTATGTCAGCTTGGCTGGGCCATGATTCTCAGTGTTTTAATTTGATCACTCCCATGATTGAATATACTGTGTGTAGCCAATCAGATGAGAGGGAGTCTCCTTGGGGGTGTGGCCTGCCATCTGAATATAAGCAGACATTCTGGCTTTTTGCTCACTCTGGATCCTGTCGCTGTCCCCTGTCATCTCATCTCTGGTTCTCGGGACTTGAGCTGTCAGCTTATCTGCTGAACTTCAGATTCGTCGCTCGTCACAGCCTGTGGGCAGGAGCCCTGATCTCCGACCTGCCGACCTGCCAACCTGGGGTTCGCCAGCTTCTGTGGCTGTGTGACTTGGGAGAGTCCTCTACCCTAACCCACGGACTTGGGACATTCTAGCCTCTACAATCGCGTGAGCTGTTTCCTTGATATAAATCTCTCTCTCTGTATATGTATTTATATGCTTTACTGGTTTTGCTTCTCTAGGGAACCCAGCCTAAGACAAGGCTTTAAGATGGCAGTGTTATAAACAAATTCTTATTTTTTATTAACTTTTAGTATTTCCAGGAGCTTAACTGTTCTTAGGAACTATTTCATTTAAAACCTATATCAATATGGTATCATACCTAGATTTTGATATATTTTATTGTAAGTTTTTTTTTTTTTTTTTGGGGGGGGCTGTATTTTAAACAAGAACTGCCTAAGCAATATGACTTAAATTCTTCAAGCCCCTTTTGGAAAGAAAGGTACACACAGCTATTGTAATAAAACAGTTGAGCCTCTACTCTAAAAAGTAGATTACTAAATCTGACAGGCTAGGTATATTTTGCTCATTTCTCTACAACTCTGCTACCATGTTACAACATGGGTTTTATGATAACCTGTGTTTACACTGGAAACCCTGGTGGCGTAGTGGTTAAGAGCTATGGCTGCTAACCAAAAAGTTGGCAGTTAAAATCCACCAGGTGCTCCCTGGAAACTCTGTGGAGCAGCTCTATTCTGTCCTACAGGGTTGCTATGAGTCGGAATTGACTCAGCGGCAATGGTTTTGGTTTGGTTTTTGTGTTTACGTTATAATTTAGAACAGCTCTGCCTTCCTGCTGGTCCAAATTACTCTGTGAAATTTTGCTTTGACATTCATCTACAAAACATTCACTACATATTAGAAATTTTGATAATACTGCATCAAAGATAAATAAAACAGAAGTTTAATTTAGAAGAAACAGATACCCTAAAGCTAACTGTAACAATGTGATATAGATTCACCCTTAATGCTTATGGGGGCTGGAGCAAGAGACTAAACAGAGGCCCATACATCATGTGCTAAACATTTAAAAGTTATAAACATTAACTGGTAAATAAAATGTTCTACTCTCCTACCTTGACAACTGCAGCTTTATAACCACCTGAAAGGCCAGTTCAGCACTGACTCTGACCCTCACACCTGTGTGTGAACAACCTACCAGATGTCTAAGCAGTATACTGGAAAGTGAGGTCAGACACCATGCTACTTAGCTACTTCTCCAACTTACATTTTCTAGAGACAGACTAAGACAGAAAAATACCTGCTTAGAGGACACATTCCTATAAACTCTGAAATAAGGTGTGCATCCAACAGCAGAGTGCTGTTTTTTAAAAAAATCAAACTGTGAGAAAAATCTGCACTGCACAACTGCAAGAATATCAGGCTACTCAATAACATTTGGTAATTTTGGAAAACTAGTCTTACATTTTTATTGGAACTATTTAGTAACAGCTTACCTATCACGAATAGTCATGGTAATCTTCTCTCCAAATGCCTGTTTCAGCACTTTGTGTGCTTTGTCCGAGCTCCAACCAGCACAGTTTTCACCATTAATCTGGAGTACCTGATCCCCAAATCTCAGACCAACCAAAGACGATGGAGAATTAGCCTGGACCAGCTGAACAAATACACCCTAGATAATAAGAAAATAACTTTAGTCATTTACTACTGTTATGATATAGCTAAAAAATGCTGGAAATTAGGAACCAACTGTTTAAGTTAGAAATCTACACTAAGTTTAAAAGAAAAAAAAAAAGTACATGAGTACAATGTGTCAAGTTACCCCCTAAAAAGAGGCTGAAATGGGTATGAGGGAAATAATCCTAGGAAACAAGGCAAAAAATGAGATCTTGGTAGTAATTTCTACCACAAATCATGATGCGCCTGACCAAACCTCAGCCACCGTTTCATCTCCAAATAAAGGGACAATGAAAATGAAGCAGAACAACTATAGTAAACAAGCTTCTATTGAGTCAGTGTTATAGACTGAATTGTGTCCCCTAAAAATGTGTATCAACTTGGCTCGCCCATGATTCCCAGTATTGTGTGGTTGTCTACCATTCTGTGATCTGATGTGATTATCCTATGTACTGTAAATCATAACCTCTATGATGTTAATGAGGCAGGATTAGAGGCAGTTATGTAAATGAGGCAGGACTCAATCTACAGAAGAGGTTGTATCTTGAGTCAGTCTCTTTTGAGTTATGAAAGAAAGAATTGAGCAGAAAAGAGTGGGACCTCATGCCACCAATAAGGAAGTGCCAGTAGTGGAGCATGTCCTTTGGACCCAGGGTCCCTGTGCTGAGAAGCTCCTAGACTAGGGGAAGACTGATGACAAGGACTTTTCCCCAGAGCAGATGGAGAGAGAAAGCCTCCCCCTGGAGCTGGTGCCCTGAATTCGGACTTCTAGCCTCCTAAAATGTGAGACAATAAACTTGTTTGTTAAAGCCATCCACTTGTGTTTGTTATGGCAACACTAGATAACTAAGACAGTCAGACAGAATTCCAAACAGGTATTAACAAATGGTCGTTATTCAGGGGGAAAGCAAATCAAGTGTTAGAAATTTAGTGGTTTCTTTTATAGCTTAACAGTGAAAGCTTAAGGCCATGCTCTACCTTTAGAGCTGAAGGATCCCTCTACCCATGTGCCGAATTACACATAAATAAGATCGGGGTTATAATTTCTCTGTTTTTCATTGGTCTTTGATAACAATCTTTTTTAAGGATGAATATAAAAATTTTAGTCAAGTATTACTTTATCATCCATTAGTTCAGACTCTAGACCTACAATTCGGTCTTGCCTCCAAAACAGTCAGATGCTAATGTTTCAACTTTTCTGAATACTTGATATAGTGTAGGAAAAAGAATTGCACAATTTCATATTTTCCATGTAGGTATTTTATATGAAGTTTGAAAGTAGAGAAATATTTGAAAGATTTGGTTTAAAGAGTTTATTATAAACATTAATTTGTGACTAAAAATAAAATGATAAAGCATTTTAAAAATTAAAATCAAGGTTTATTTAACAGCCTAAAAGGTGGGATGTTCAACACCACTCCAGTTCTTATAAAGAATCTGCTAGGAAATACAGAAAACTCAAGTATGATTAACTAAGAACTAAATCCACACAAATTTTTTTAAATTATGTAAACTCTCAATCTCAAATGTTAAGCAAAAATTAATTGACAAGTACAAAAGAAGAGTGAAGCTGGTAAAATATAAAAGCATCTACAAGGGCTAGACTCTAAAATCTTAAGCTGGGGCAGACAGGATTTCTTCCATGTTTCTCAAGTAGACCAAACCGCTGCAAATGTAACTACAATGGTGCAAGAAACACCATGAAAGGTATCCTTTAGGACACAGGAAGCAGCAGCCCTGGCAAAGGGTACTAGTATACTGTCATTCACTGAAAAGGAAGAGAGAGTGTAGCTAAGTCAGAGCTTCCCAGCCAAACCCACTGATGGGTCTTGAATAAGTTATGCAAAGACACACAGGTCAGGGCTTCCTGCCAGATCAGCCTCATCCATTTACCCTAGTGGCCACACTCATTTTCATTTTCTCTGTGTGTCAGGACAGGGAAAAGACTGCACCTACTGAGCTGCCATGACTTAAGACTAAAAAGGAATCCACTAAGGTAATGGCTAAAACCATAAATAGGGCTAAAGATTCAGGACTCCCTGAACAATTCTAAGTAGTGATTACTACTCCCAGAGTTAACCTTCGTTCATTTCATCACTATGGTGTCAAGGACTGAATTATGTCCCCTCAAAATACGTGTATCAATTCGGCTAGGCCATGATTCCCAGTATTGTGTGATTGTCCACCATTTTGTCATCTGATGTGATTTTCCTATGTGTTGTAAATCCTATCTCTATGATGCTGATGAGATAGGATTAGTGGCAGTTCTATTAATAAGGCAGGACTCAATCTATAAGATTAAATTGTGTCTTGAGCCAATCTCTTTTGAGATATAAAAAAGAGAAATAAGCACAGAGACAGGGGGGCCTCATACCACCAAGAGAGCACTGCTGGGAGCAGAGCCCATCCTTTGGACCTTGGGTTCCTGCACACAGACACTCCTAGACCAGGGGAAGACTGATGACAGGGAACTTCCCCCAGAGCAGACAGAGAGAGAAAGACTTCGCCTGGAGCTGACACCCTGAATTTTTGGGCTTCTGGCCTACGGGACTGTGGGAGAATAAACTTCTGTTTGTTGAAGCCATCCACTTGTGGTATTTCTGTTATAGCAGCACTAGATGACTAAGACATATGGTAAGGGTGAGAGGTAGAGGAATTGTAAGGTAAAGTAAGAATTGCCCTAATTAGTAAGTCACTTTTGCTCAGAAAATGCCCTATTAAATTCAGATTTGAAGGATGGGAATAACAAACATATAAAACCACCTCACAAGTCAAACAAGTATCATTTGGTTTAAAAAATACCCATCATTTATACATCAGTTTTTTCTTAACTTTCACATGCTGCCCTATGTCAATGCCAGAATTCCATTAGACAAATTATGTTATAATGTAATAATTTATGCAGACCAGTTAACTTTATTCGAGAAGGAGTACTCAAAAAGAAAAAAAAAAATTCATTCAAGGTAATGGTGTTGGAAGTTCCAACTCTGCCTCCTCAAAATATGGCACCTCAAAATGGATAAATTGAGCAGATTTAAAATATTCTCGATTATACAGATCCACCATTATAATTAAAGTATTTCAAAGTTGCAAATTATCCAATATTAATTATATAATATTCTATAAGATACTTAGACAAATTTAAATAGATTTTTTTAAAAAATACTTACATTATCTATTGATTTAAGCCTGAGGCCAATTTTTCCATCTTGATCCTTACACAAAATAACTTCACGAATCCCTTGCTTAATTTCTGCTCTTCTAATTCCAACATCATTACCAGTTACAGGAGCCACCATATAGTTCATACTGGAAGGCCGTGCTACCAACTGCTAACAAAAATACACAATGTATCAATATTTAGAAACACTCTCCATCAAAAAAGCCTAAAATGATAATTTAAAAATAGTAGTGGCTTTCCAAAAAGTAATCAGCAAATAATTTCCTACAGATAGTTTGGTTTCTATAAAAATGAACCTGGATTTATGTACCAATTTGTAATTTATTAGTCCCATATTTATCATCACCAATAGTCTGTCTTCCTCTCTGTCGCCTTTTGAATGAACTCACTGGCATTTGTTTCATGTGTATACTTCTTTTCAACTCACACGAATTATCCTTAAACTCTGAAGGCCATATGATAATTTTGAAACTCAACATAACATTTGCTAGAGGGCTCTTCTATTTTTATATTTTTATTGTGCTTTAGGTGCAACTTTACAGAGCGAATTAGTTTCTCATCAACAATTTAAACACAAATTGTTTTGTGACATTGGTTGCAATCCCCACAATGTGTCAACACTCTCCTCTTCCACACCCTAAGTCCCCATTTCCATCTGTCCATTTTTCCTGTCCCTTTCCTGCCTGCTTGCCACTGCTTTTGGGAAGGTATTGCACTTTTGGTCTCATATATATGACTGAACTAAGCAGCACATTCCTCACGTGTTACTGTTTGTTTTATAGACCTGTCTAATCTTTGGCTGAAGGGTTAACTTCAGGAATGGCTTCAGTTCTGAGCTAAAAGGGTGTCTAGTGGTAGAGGGTTCTTTTATATTGTATGATCTTTGGCCAGAGACTTTCAGAGTTTCTATAAAAGGGACAACATTCTTACCTCACAGTGTTACTGTAGGATTAAAAGAGAAGTGTATGTTATATGGGTCCTGGCACATGTAAGACAGTCAAATATTATTTTTCTTCCCCTTTAATAAATATCTGTGGATTGACTGCCACAGAATAGCTACACCAGGGACTTTTGTAATTAAATATTTTTGACTTGTTTTTTCCACTATACACTCCTCACTTTCTTTGCCCTCCGAAAGAACTTCAGATTTGTTTTAAACACCTAGTGAGGTGGCGACCCAGAACTTCATTCTGAAGCATCTAAATCTCCAGAGCTCTTCAATGCCCTGCTTTTTTCTTATTTATATTTTAACTGAATTGGATTCATTTTATTTGTTGCTGGAGGTTTTTATTAACTTCCCATTAGTGAGTTTTTTCATTTCACATATTGTATCTTTCTTCTCTAGACATTCTACTACTTGGTTCTTTATTTTCTGTTTCTCTCCTCATTCATGGTTTCATTTAAATCCTTGAGCGTATTTATAGTACCTACTTTAAATTCCATGCCTGCTAATTTCATTATCTCTGCCGTTTCTGGATCTCTTTCTACTGACTGAATTTTCTCCTGGTCATGAGTCATTTTCCTGCTTCTTCACATCTGCTTATTTTTTTTAGTTGGGTGTTTCTGACACTCCTAGAACCAGCCTCGTTGCAACCCCTCAGTACCAGCCAGTAATGTCTCCTCTTCCAAGACTATCAGTCCCAGCTCTTTCCCCAACCTTCTACGAGGTTTCTCATTACTCCAAGCTCTTCCCTGTGCTACCCTAGTCCTAGGAGAGGCAGCTACTTCCTGGAATTACAGCAGTGTTACCTCAGCGTTCCATTTTTGCTTTTTTAAACTCTCCAACCTCTTTATCTAATTTCTTATGTTAAATTATCTCTGTTGAAATACCTACAGTGACTTCTTTTTCCCTGGCTGAACCCTGTTATAAGCAAGTTCTCAATAAATATTTAGCAGATAAACGAATGTCATGTACTGTATGTACTCTATCTTCATGAAGTCTAATAGAAGACACATATGAAATGATTGTACAAGTATTAACCATAATTATAATAAACACTATAAAGCACTATGGGCTTATAGCAATGAGATCTTAATAAAAAGTTATCAGGTAAGTTAAATTTAAACCTAGAATTGGGGTTCTATTACAAGAGCATTTAATTTCCATACAGAATATTAAAAGCTTCTGAGCAAAGAAGACAGTGACCTGTACTTCAGGGTGACTCATCCAGCAGCGCTTAGTACTGTCTGACGTAAGTTACTAGAGGAAACGTAAGAAAGAGATTACTGCAATAATCTAGGTGAACACTACAGAAACCCTGATTTAGGGTTATAGTAGGACTGGAGTGGATAAAATTAATAGAAGAAACACGGCACAGACAGAATCATTACAGCTTAGTGACTGATTAAACGCAGACAACAAAGGCAAATAGATTAGTCCAAGGCATCTAAAGCCTTAACTCCTGATAACTGGTAAAGTGGTAATAGCACAAAAGGAAGTAGACTATTAATTAAGAAGTGATATCTGGAAGAAAGTCTAAAATTTCTGAGAAGTCAATGCTAACGTTATAAATCTGTAAGTTAATCACAACAAAAAATACGTATTTAACATAATTTAAAATTAATTACACTATACATACCCCCTGCACTGGTGCTCCAGGGACTATGGCCATATTTGCACATATTTCTTCTTCATTTAGACTCAGACCCATGTATTGAGAGAGCTCCGGATAAAGTTTAGGATACAGATCTAATAAAAATGAGTGAATGAATGAGTGAATAAAGCACTGGCAGAGTACTCGAAAACTACTGTTATTATGGACTTCTATTTGTGTTGAAAATACTATGTTTAATTTATAAAATATAGAAAGAACTGAAAGTAGCAATTTGGAAGGACACCTTTTCCATTCCCGTAATGACAACAGAAAATGGGAAATGCAGAAAATTTTCAGGTGAAAAGTTGTAGAAAATAAAGATATTAGAACTGAAGCCTCAAATTTCTAAATACTCAAGAGCAGAAATAATTTTTCCAAGTAAGTTATCTTGCCTTTCCTCTTTCTTCAAATATACCTACTTGATTATATATATATTTTTTAAGAGTACTGTTGATTCTACAATTCAGAAAAACTGACCAAAATGTCTACTGTCAAGCCAACTACTTTATAGTTCATAGTAAACCCAGCTATGGAATGACTCTTCTGGACTGATAACAATAAAAAAAAAAAATTAAAGCTCATGAATTTAGTGTTAGATCATTTTGGGACTAACAAAATCTAACTTAGTAATAGCTAGAGATTATCTCCTAAAGTTTTGCATGAATTATCTGGAAAAACAGATTTTCTGAAAGGAACATTATAGATATGGAAGAGACTGGTAAGATGCCAGGCTTTTCTGTACCTTAAATCATATTAATAGGGAGTCTGTCCTGAATTCTTCCAAACCCTGAAGGAAAAGGGATTTAAAAAAAGGAAACGTAGAGATTCCAAAATTTGGGAGGCTCTCAAAAAAGAGGTTTATTGGAAATTTCAGAAATTTCCCCACAAAGCTAGAGAAAGGTTGAGGAAGTTCCAAACGCATGACGCAACCACAGGTGACGTGTAAGGTTTTTTATCAGTCACAGGTCAGGGACTTATGAGTCACGCTCAAATCAATTTTCATTAAGCCATAAAGCACATCTTCATATTCACAACTCACTCTCTTAATTAGATAGAAGATTATTTTTGAAATAAACATTTTTTCTCATTACTACTAGAGAAATGTTGCATGTCAAAAAAATGTTGGAAGTCCCAATTTCAGTAAAACAAGGCTTAACAAATACTTCTGTTCAAGGAGAATGAAACCAAAGTATAAACTTACTTCCATCTTGAGAGACGGGAGCAGAAGCTTCTGACAAAATTGCTGGGTTGGCAGGGTTTGCAGAAAAGGCAGCTTGAGCCTGAAAAAGAAAAGAAGAAAACTTTAACAACTACACTATAAGTACTTAAAGTTATTATATAATTTATAACAGAAATTCAGTACTTAGGGGAAAAAACTAAAATACTGAAGTTTTAGTCAAAGTTTAATTTCAAACACTTATAGTAATACATTTTTCAAAGGATATCTGCAAATCAAAAAAAAATTTCATGTTCTAAATATTTGAAACTGTAATAAAAATTGATTAAGTACCATTCTACATATTTTACAATCAAGTATTTCATAGCACTGCTGCTTATTAATCAATAAATGAGTATTTCTAAAATGCATTCTAAAATGGCCACATTTTGCATTTTAATTATTTTACTTATTAATTCAAATAAAAATACCAACCACATTCATATAAAAAGTCACATATCAGAAGAATTCTTAAAAATTTAAATACCAATTAATTAAGTTGCTATTATTTAGTAACTCAGCACATATCACTAAAATAATCTGTATCTTCATTTTAGCAATATAGTATACTGCATTTTTTGCAAATAACACACCCAAACATTTAATGCGTGGAAATTGGCAGAGCACGCTTGCGAAAATAACATGCAAGGGGACTGCACAGTTGGCAAAAAAGGTATAATGCACGAGTTATATGCATAAAAAAACAGTAGGTGCTTCATTCAGCAGTGTTTAAATATTAAATACAAAAATAATTATTGCAAAAAGCACATTTTTATCACTGACATACAAGGATGATGATAAAGTAATACAGTGTATGACTATTAAACAAACTTGCCAAAATCACATCGACTAATTATACATTTACTCTATCAAATATGCCTGGAGCTCCTGAGAGCTGTGTTGATACCCTATGTCATATTAAGTATCCCACTGATAGAGATATTTTGTTCTTGACAGATATGTATGATCTTCTGAAATAGCCAAATGCCATTTAGAGACAAATTTGTTAATAAGATGTATGACCAATCTCTTGTATCACTTTTTACTGAACTGGAAATATGTCAATTAAGTAATGACGTTTATGTCTATAACTTAATGCCAAGAGCAGACCCAAAGACGCCTGGAGAGATGGAAGCTTAATTTTAATAAATACAGCCTACAAAAGCTTTGAACGGTACTAAACTCAAACGGATTATAAATGTTCTGCTATGTTTGTTAGTAAGAGTCATTCTTTAATGTTTTATAATTTACCACCCATTCTAAACTGAAAGAAAACGCAGCATAAAAACCTCTCTAATTTTAAATAACAACCCACAAACTCAAGTGTGCTGAATTTTGAGTTCTTTCACCACCCATCAAAGGAGCTTGTGAACAGCTGAATTACTTCGTGAATAACGTAAGGAAAAAAACACTGTTCCCTTTTACACTAGTTATTTTTTCCAATTCTTTCAGTCATTACTATTTTCCTTATAAAAGAATACTGAAGTAAGAATATACAGAATACAGTTACTGCCAGTGTCTATTTCTTTTACCATCTGCTAATCCTTATCACGTAATGTACTGATGTCATATTAATGGCTTATTCTGAAAGGCTAAGTATTTCAGATAAAAGGTTTAAAAACAAAGAGTGATTGTTCAGATGAGCTTTGTGGAAATAAAATGAAAAGTACTATCAAAAGACCGAAGAAAGAAGCAACAGAACATTTAAGATGGCTAAACAGGCCACTTTAAACTGTAAAGCATCAAAGCCTTGGCAGCTGACCAGTAGATTTCAGATTTTAAAAAATCACATTTTAATATCCATACTAGATCTATGATACAAAATTTGTGTTTATGATCTCCCCATGTAAGAATCTGCTCATCCACTGCTACGATGTTAATAAACCCAGTCATACACAGGTCACTATTACTGTTCATTTTTTTTTTTTCTCACCCCAATGAGGTCAACATTTTGCCTAAAACATTTGTATTCTTGAGGTTGTTTAAAATTTCTCACAAGTTGTAATAAATTTTTTTTGCTCACTGGTCAATTATGACAACGTAAATCTCACTTTTACAGTAAACTGAGATCAAGCCCTCAAGAAAAATGATCTTTAGCATAAGAAGATTTAAAGAACTTCATCACATTTATCATGTTATAAAGATTATTTTAGAAATAAAGAACTATAACAGAGTTAGATTTACCTTTTCAAATTAAATAAACAGAAGCTGAGGAGATTCTGAGTTTTTAAGAGATCAGGTTAAAAGTAAACTGGAAACAGATGGGTTCATTATACACAACAAATTATCACCAATTAAAAAGATTAATAAAAGTTCCAAAATAGTAAGAATAACTGATCTCAATCCCAAACTTTCTTCTTAAGCAGAAGCATCTATCTTCAAAGCTGACACTTAAATGAAGAACTATAAAAATGTTCTACTTAAATGAAATTAGAAATACTGTCACCTCTAATAGTCATTTAGAGCACAAATAAATGAAATAAATGTCTGCCCCTTCCGTCCAAAAAGAAATCACTAGGGCTTTCACTGTGCTTTTATAGTACTACACTGCTAAAAGCAACATGCATGTCATGGATTGAATTGTGTCCCCAAAAATATGTGTCAACTCGGTTAGGCCATGATTCCCAGTACTGAGTGGTTGTCCTTCATTTGGTGATTGTTAATTTTATGTTTAAAAGGATTAGGGTGGGATTGTAACACACTTACCCAGGTCACATCCCTGACCTAATATACAGGGAGTTTTTCCCTTGGGTGTGGCCTACACCACCTTTTCTTTCTCAAGAGATAAAAGGAAAGGGAAGCGAGCAGAGAGGGGGGACCTCATATCACCAAGAAAGCAGTGCCAGGAGAAGAGCATGTCCTTTGGACCCCAGGTCCTTGCACAGAGAAGTTCCTAGTCCGGGGGAAGACTGATGAGAAGGCCAACAGAAAGAGAAAGCCTTCCCCTGAAGCTGACACCCTGAATTTGGACTTCTAGCCTACCAGACTGTGAGAAAATAAATTTCTCTTTGTTAAAGCCATCCACTTGTGGTATCTCTATAAGCAGCACTAGATGACCAAGACAATGCACTTCACTATTTCTGGAATTTTTTAACTTCAATTCAAAGGTGAAACAAAGAATTATTTTAAAAGTCAGTCATACCACTAACTGTCCACAGCTACCAAAGCCTCCATCGGACTGAGTCCAGGACAGCTAGATGGTGCCCGGCTACCACCACTGACTGCTCTGACCAGGATCACAACAGAGGGTTCTGGACAGAGCTGGAGAAGGATGTAGA